AACAAAAGCCCAGGACCAGATGGCTTCACAGCTGAATTCTACCAAAAATTTAGAGAAGAGCTAACACCTATCTTACTCAAACTCTTCCAGAAAATTGCAGAAGAAGGTAAACTTCCAAACTCATTCTATGAGGCCACCATCACCCTAATTCCAAAACCAGACAAAGATGCCACAAAAAAAGAAAACTACAGGCCAATATCACTGATGAACATAGATGCAAAAATCCTTAACAAAATTCTAGCAAACAGAATCCAACAACATATTAAAACAATCATACATCATGACCAAGTGGGCTTTATCCCAGGAATGCAAGGATTCTTTAATATCCGCAAATCAATCAATGTAATACACCACATTAACAAATTGAAAGATAAAAACCATATGATTATCTCAATAGATGCAGAAAAAGCCTTTGATAAAATTCAACATCCATTTATGATTAAAACTCTCCAGAAAGCAGGAATAGAAGGAACATACCTCAACATAATAAAAGCTATATATGACAAACCCACAGCAAGCATCACCCTCAATGGTGAAAAATTGAAAGCATTTCCCCTGAAATCAGGAACAAGACAAGGGTGCCCACTCTCACCACTACTATTCAACATAGTTTTGGAAGTTTTGGCCACAGCAATCAGAGCAGAAAAAGAAGTAAAAGGAATCCAGATAGAAAAAGAAGAAGTGAAACTCTCGCTGTTTGCAGATGACATGATCCTCTACATAGAAAATCCTAAAGACTCTACCAGAAAATTACTAGAGCTAATCAACAAATACAGTAAAGTTGCAGGATATAAAATTAACACACAGAAATCTCTTGCATTCCTATACACTAACAATGAGAAAACAGAAAGAGAAATTAAGGAAACAATACCATTCACCATTGCAACAAAAAGAATAAAATACTTAGGAGTATATCTACCTAAAGAAACAAAAGACCTATACATAGAAAACTATAAAACACTGATGAAAGAAATCAAAGAGGACACAAACAGATGGAGAAATATACCGTGTTCATGGATTGGAAGAATCAATATTGTCAAAATGGCTATACTACCCAAAGCAATCTACAGATTCAATGCAATCCCTATCAAACTACCAACGGTATTTTTCACAGAACTAGAACGAATAATTTCACAATTTGTATGGAAATACAAAAAACCTCGAATAGCCAAAGTAATCCTGAGAAAGAAGAATGGAACTGGAGGAATCAATCTGCCTGACTTCAGACTATACTACAAAGCCACAGTCATCAAGACAGTATAGTACTGGCACAAAGACAGAAATATAGATCAATGGAACAAAATAGAAAGCCCAGAGATAAATCCACGAACCTATGGTCACCTTATCTTTGACAAAGGAGGCAAGGATATACAATGGAAAAAAGACAACCTCTTTAACAAGTGGTGCTGGGAAAACTGGTCAACCACCTGTAAAAGAATGAAACTAGAACACTTTCTAACACCATACACAAAAATAAACTCAAGATGGATTAAAGATCTAAATGTAAGACCAGAAACTATAAAACTCCTAGAGGAGAACATAGGCAAAACACTCTCCGACATAAATCACAGCAGGATCCTCTATGACCCACATCCCAGAATTTTAGAAATAAAAGCAAAAATAAACAAATGGGACCTAATGAAACTTAAAAGCTTTTGCACAACAAAGGAAACTATAAGCAAGGTGAAAAGACAGCCCTCAGATTGGGAGAAAATAATAGCAAACGAAGCAACAGACAAAGGATTAATCTCAAAAATATACAAGCAACTCCTCCAGCTCAACTCCAGAAAAATAAATGACCCAATCAAAAAATGGGCCAAAGAACTGAACAGACATTTCTCCAAGGAAGACATACAGATGGCTAACAAACACATGAAAAGATGCTCAACATCACTCATTATCAGAGAAATGCAAATCAAAACCACAATGAGGTACCGTTACACACCAGTCAGGATGGCTGCTATCCAAAAGTCTACAAGCAATAAATGCTGGAGAGGGTGTGGAGAAAAGGGAACCCTCTTACACTGTTGGTGGGAATGCAAATTAGTACAGCCACTATGGAAAACAGTGTGGAGATTTCTTAAAAAGCTGGAAATAGAACTGCCATATGACCCAGCAATCCCACTTCTGGGCATACACACCGAGGAAACCAGTTCTGAAAGAGACACGTGTACCCCAGTGTTCATCGCAGCACTGTTTATAATAGCCAGGACATGGAAGCAACCTAGATGCCCATCAGCAGACGAATGGATGAGGAAGCTGTGGTACATATACACCATGGAATATTACTCAGCCATTAAAAAGAATTCATTTGAATCAGTTCTAATGAGATGGATGAAACTGGAGCCCATTATACAGAGCGAAGTAAGCCAGAAAGATAAAGACCATTACAGTATACTAACACATATATATGGAATTTAGAAAGATGGTAACGATAACCCTATGTGCAAAACAGAAAAAGAGACTCCTATGTATAGAACAGACTTGTGGACTCTGGGAGAAGGCGAGGGTGGGATGTTTCAAGAGAACAGCATTGAAACACGTATATTATCTAGGGTGAAACAGTTCACCAGCCCAGGTTGGGTGCATGAGACAAGTGCTCGGGCCTGGTGCACTGGGAAGACCCAGAGGGATTGGGTGGAGAGGGAGGTGGGAGGGGGGACCGGGATGGGGAATACATGTAAAAAAAAAAAAAAAAGATACACTATGGTTGTGATAAAATAAATAAATAAATAAATAATAAAAAATAAAAAAAAAAAAAGAAAAATGCATGCCAAAACTTCATGGCTTTCTTGAGACAAAAACCCTCAACGATGGAAGAGGAGCCCAGTAGACAATATCTTCTCAGCCACCAAACAAACCTGCTCATAATGTTCTGTTCAGACCACAGTCAAGTTGGCTCAAGTATTCTGGGACTCAGGCAGAAGATGGAAGGTTTTCCCAGAACATCCTGCAATCACAGAATTTAAAATTTCAGTATGTCTAATGATGCGTACATGCTCAGTCATGTTTGACTCTTTGCAACCCCATAAACTGCAGCTCACAAGACTCCTCTGTCCATGGAATTTTCCAGGCAAGAATACCACAGTGGGTTGCCACTCTTACTCCAAGGGATCCTCTCAACCCAGGGAATGAACCCGCATCTCTCCCATCTCCTGACTGGCAGGTGGATTCTTTACCACCAAGCCACCTGGGAAGCCCCACATGAGAGTTATAATACTTGCATGAGGAGAAAACAAACTATTTACATAAAAACTGAAATGTAGTAATTTGGAGTTGGTAAACTAAGTTTTAAGGAAAAACTACATTCTAACTTTGGGGTTTGGAGATATTGTCACATTTTAGAAAAGTCAGTTAATTTACTTGGACCATTTCCCTAACTGAAAAATGGGTGTCTCACAATTAAAAATTTTGAAGAGTTGGTGATAAAGTGAAGACAAACACTCGAAGAAGTTGAAAGATTTTGACTTTGGGATGATAGGCAAAAAGAGGGAAAAATTTAAAAACTTACTCATTTCTCCTTTGCTTAATCTCTACAATCCCCCTCTCACTTTGCAATCCTGTAGGCCATAGCTGGATGCAGGTCAAACAGCAGGAAGTTGAGAGTGCAGAGCAATGTAACGGATCAATGGAGATTTTGCATGGAACAGGGTTAAGTATGCTGAATCTTGAGAAGAACCTGGGAATGAATCATTGGTGCCCTGAGACTGTGGTGGGGCAAGACAGGCCTTGGGGCCAGAAAGGCCTGGCTGGATCCTAGCACCTTGGCTTTGTGGGCACCTGGGAGAGTCATCAAGCTCCCAGAGCCTCAACCCTCTTATCTGTAAAATGAAGACAAAGACTCTGGGAAAGCTGACTGTGGGTGTGAGGTCTCTTTATAAAATGAGGTGTGCCTGATGATTTGTATCACCATCAGTTGAGAGGAGAACACGAGCCACATCTAGATGTTTTGAAATGCACGTCAGTGCCCAGAACAGCACCTGTCCAAAGGGCAGGTCCTATCTGTCCAAAGAGCCGCCTTCTGCTGTTAATGCTGCAAGTGCCAGACCATGCTGCAAGTGCCAGTGTGGAGTCTCTGCAGAGCATGGACACCTGCAGACATGCAGACACTGCTGTGTCCTGCTCACAAGAGTCTGCAAGACAGAAACTAAATAACAGAAAGCAGTGACTAGCTTAACTTTTTAACAGAGAACAAAGAAAAGTGAAAATGACTGGAAATGGTGTTTAACTGAACCCATTTATGCACTGTCATTTACCCTGCCTACAAAAGAAAGTCAGCAATTTTCTGACTGTTCTTATACCTCAAAGTGAAACTGGTTCACAAAATAAAAACATACATAATCCAGTGTCAAAAACTGGTGATTTATAGAAATCACCCCATTTATTTCTTCCAATAAAGAGGAAAAAAACAAATAAAACATGTTTCAATAATTCAGTGTTTGAGTCACTGGCAAATACTGTTTGTATCATTCAACGTAAGTGTCCCAGGTCATGAGCTCCAGGCATGCTGATGGCCACGAATCTTCCACGGTTCAAACAAAACGGAGAGCCCACATGTGAGGACGATGTCAGTTGAAAACAAGATGCCTTATCACAGTGTGCATAAAAAGGTCTTTGAAAAATATCCAGATCTTTAAAGGAATGAAAACACTCCTGTTTTGTTGTAGCTTTTGTTCCCTTTAATTGTTAATTTTTGGAGTAAACTTTTCTCGCTGTGAGGAAGGAGTCGTATGACTTTGTAAGTGGAAACCAAGAGGCCACTGGCTAATGAAAATGCCTCCCCTCCCAGACACAGAGCTCTTCTGTCCCCTCAAAACCCTCTTTCATGATTTCTGTTATGGTTCAGAAAGGTAAATAAAATGATTTCAAGTATTCAATTCCTATCAAAAATTGGTATCAAAAGTAATAAAGGACCTAATTTCTTTATAATTCCATGTTTTAAAAAATAACTTAAGAAGCAAGAGGTCCGGCCCTTTACTTGTATAAATACCACAGCGTAACTAGAGTTTCTTAAGACAGCGTGGAGAGGAGTCTGTGTTTAGCACCTCGATCATCGATCTTAATGTTGGGAACGTCTCTGACACAGATGGAAGAGTCTTATAAGAAGGTGAAATACTGAAAGAGAAAAATGCAAAGAAACGGTGTGAAAATCAACACAATTTTACCAAAAAAGACAAAGCTTATATTATATCAATTCCTATTACAATATTCACTTTGCAGTACTCCACATGTGTGACATCAGAGAACATCACATATCAGGGGGACCTGTGAGCACAGCAGATCCTGTTTCAGCAGTCACTGGGGTATCAGCAGGCTCCCATCATGAGATGCAGGTAAATTCAACCAGTCTTCGGAAAGAAAATCAATCTCTGACTTACACAGTGAGTGTTGCGCACACACATCCCTCCAAGACGCGTGCTAGACATGGAACCTGAAGACACATGTTTTGGGTCCAGCCTTGATCCCTATCAGCTTTAGTGGTTCCTCTCAGACCCACTTCCCTGTATTTGCAGCAAGAAGGACAGTATTCCTAACTCCCAGAGTTACTTACTCCTGGTAAGGAGTGTGGAATGGGTGTCAATTACATTGTGAACCTGTAGCTGCACAACATAAGGTGGCGTTGCTATTTTTTCCTAAAAGAGTTGTTGAAAGATCAACACTGTAAAATTATGCAGGAAACAGAGGCAAGGCCTTTGACCTTATGGTCATATTACTAAAATATATGTAAACTAGTAAACCCGAGACAAAAATACACTAGAAGGAGGTGTAACTGTTAAAGGAGTTTTCATTACAAAGCTAATGGAATACTTACAAATGGGACCAAAGTATCTTACAGAGACAAACTTCTGTTTTAAACAGAGCACACCGGGATGGGGAATACATGTAAATCCATGGCTAATTCATTTCAATGTATGACAAAAACCACTGCAATGATGTAAAGTAATTAGCCTCCAACTAATAAAAATAAATGAAAAAAATAAAAAAATAAAAAAATAAACAGAGCACAGATTATCCAGTGATTTTTAGAGTGGTTGCTCTGTTGAACAGATATGGAAAAGCAAAACTGGAAGTTTCTATGATATTAAAAAAAAACATGGAGAAGGAGCAAGAGTCAATAAGGTTAAATAGTGAGATGTGCTTAAAGATTAAAGGCAAAAGGAGAAGGCGGCAGCAGAGGATGAGATGGTTGGATGGCATCATAGACTCAATGGACATGAATTTGAGCAAACTCTGGGAGACAGTGGAGGACAGAGGAACTTAGTGTGTTGCAGCCCATGAAGTTGCAAAGAGTTGGACATGACTTAGGATTGAACAACAACAAAATTAACTATGAAAGCACCTGTGAGTTTAATTTCAGCCTATGCCCCTGTGGTGCTTTTGAAAACAAGAGTCAGGAAAGATCGTAGTACTGGGCCCTTCCACGGCAACCATCAGGGGTAATTTCTTGCAGCTTTCCCTGACTCCTGTGTATTTTGTACCTAAATCACAGTAAAGCACCACCTTCCCCAAACAAAGAGAACAGGAAAAATGCAGCTGAAAGGCAGGGGCCACCACCCAGAGAACTCTGAGTCAGGCCCAGCTCAGCTTTCAAAATCACTCCTGAATACTGACCCTGCGAGTCTGGGAAAAAGGACCAACGGGCCAAGAGACAGGAATATCTGACTATATAAATAAGACATCTGTAACCCTTCTTTCACAAACTGGCTCCCTTATTTTATTCATTATTCATTTTTATCCATACACTCGCCTGTTAAGGGGTCGTAAATGACAACAAAAAAATAGTAACCTTGAAAAGCAGATTAAATTCATTATATAATCATAGCCCATAAAAATGAGCACAATTCCAGTTTCACTTCCTTTTGTTGACCCCTATCAAGCAATTACCTTTTCAAGTTCATCCAGCTTTTAGCTATTTTGCTAAAGGCCTCTGAACCAGGGGCAGTCATAGCTTCAAAGTCAACCAACTGAAAAAGAAAGAGATTTAAGAATGTGGTTAAAGATGGAGGGGAGGTTCCCTTTGGGATTCAGTTCATTTGTGTGTCTTAACATAAAACTCCACAGACTGGGCTTGAAACCGTTTCCCTTCTGGCTCCAGCTCCAACATACCTTCCCTTTGGGAATTTTTCCTGCTACTTCTTTTCCACTTGCCATCAGCGCTCCCACAATCACTGAGTAAGCGATCACACTATTCAGATAGAGAACAATTACCAGTCAGTCCAGGCCACAGACGGTTACCACATTAGAGCTCACCATGGATTTCCCATCCTAAAAGATGACATTGTATTTCTTTTAACAATTCTTTGGACATCAAACAAAAGAATATTTTCATTTGTTCTAAAAATATTCGCTAATTTACTAAGAAAAATATTTACTGGCTTACTAATTTAGGGGTAAATGTGTAACAATATTTTTCTGAGACAAAAGTTTCTTTTAATGATGAGTTTTTTTTAATTAGTTTTCCTATTGTTATGAAACACTGAATTAGAAAATGTGCCTCCTTTCTATTATTTTAAAAAATTCATTATCTGCCACATCACATGGCATGTGGGATCTTAGTTCCCCAACCAGGGACTGAATCTAAGCCCCCTGCATTGGAAGCATGGGGTCTTAACAGCTGGACTGCCCAGAGAAGTAAGTCCTTGCTTGCTTCTATTTTTAACTGCATGAGGCTTGGCTTTAAAATTCATATATATAATATACTTTGTAAATGCAAACATATTATTAGAGTTTAACAATAAAAACTTTGGCCCCAAAGAAGAAAAAGAACGCATCTCAGAAAGTACTAACAGACTGGTCTGAAGGCTGGGTATGTGCACTTCCTTCCTGGCATGTCCAGACTCACTCTGGGCTCTGACATTCTTATTATGATGCCAGCTGTGTGTGAGAGGCACCCCAGGACGGAGACAGTAAGACAGAGCTCTCGCCTCTGCACGTGGCCACCAGTCCTGCAGCCACCTATCAGGGAAGCCCTCACAGAGGCCATGGACACATGTGCTCTGTCTTTGAAGGCCGTGGGCAGGACAACGGATGGGGAGGAGAGGGCAGGAAGGGGGCGGGCTGGGAGGGGCAGGAAGGTGTGTGGACAGGCAGGGGGTGTGGCGGAGGGGCCAGAGTCAGGATGGAGAGAGGGCAGATGACAGGAAAGGTGACGAGGCCACGGTAAACCAGGGCCGGGAGGAGCTGGCACTGTGCACCACGCCGCTGGGTTGGCACCTGAGCCAACAGAGATAAAGAACTGGGGCACAGAGAGGGAAAAAGAAAGGCCCGGAAAAGGAGAGACCAGTTAGAAAGGTAGGTGCAAGGGGTAAGCGGGGGGACTTCCCTGGGGTCCAGTGGCTAAGAATCCACCTGCGCATCACAGGGACACAGGTCCAACTCCTGGTCTAAGAGGACCCCACACGCCTCAAGGCAGCTAAGCTGGAGAGCTGCAGCTACTGAAGCCTGAACGCCTGGAGCCAGTGCTCCATAACAGGAGAAGCCACTGCAACAAGAAGCCCGTGCCCTCTCAACAAAGAGTAGCTCCAGCTCGCTGCAACTAGAGAAAGCCCCCACAGAGCAATAAAGACCCAATGCAGCCAAAATAAAGAATTAAATAAATATTTTTTTAAAAAAAAGAAAGGTCAGTGCAAGAGATGAGCAGATCTGAGCTATGGCAGGCGTGGGGAGCATGAGAGGAGAGGAGAGGTTTAGGAGGCAGAGTCAACGAGACTTAAGTCAGGGACCGGACAGGTGTGGGGGCTGAGGGGGAGACGGGGATGACTGGACCTCCTTCTCAGGTGACACAGAAACCCACAAGCTGCTGTGTGAACACATGCACGCACAGTGCCTGAAAGTGGTGGATGAACAGGGCACATGGAGGCCCCTGCATGTTACAGATCTAGTTAGCAGTCCTGTAACAGTTGTGCCGAAGGTACAATATTTCTGTTCCAATTTTACTTCAAGGCCACTTTCATTTTGTAAGTTCCAGGTGCACACTTGTCTACACAACAGAATGATCACCACCAGCCTAGTTTCCATCCACCACCATACAGTGGACCCCCTGTGCCCATTCTGCCTAACTTCCAATGCTTTTTTAATAGTATAAGAAAACTTACCACCACATTTAGGAGAGTTCCACTTTCTAAAGTATTAGTCAGAGATCAAGACACTTAAGTATATGATTTTAACCAAACATCTTAAATTCAAACATGTGCTAACAACAGCATACGCCATTCACCTGATTCACTGTACATGGTACCAAATAAAAGAGAATGAAAAGAAAGCTCTACAGACACACCCTTGTTTGAATGACACTTGAAAGACTCCTAATGAATTCGCTAAGTAGAATTCATTTATAACAGTAATAATACTTTGGGATGGTTGGTGATGCAAAAGTATTAAACATTAGGGCTAAAGGTCAATTAATGGCCAAAGTTTGGGGGCGGCAGGGTAACAGTCTGGGCAAACACCAGGAATTAAAGCGCAGTGAGCGCATGTGTGCACAGAGCGAGATTTGGATAGATTTTTGTGAATGAATGAGCTCCAGCCTGTACACACCAAGAACCTTCTACCAGAACTACCTTCAGAATCCTTGATGACGCAGTAGATCAAGGACATCGCTTTCAGGTGGACTTTGGAAAAACAAAGGGGGCTTCTTGCCATTGCTAGGATACCTGTACTCATACCCACACTGCAAATGTAAGCAAAAGGCGAGTGTTCTTCACTACACAACTGTCAGATTATAGGATATCACCCACCTGGATCCACGAGAGAGCGGCATTAAATTATAAAAATAATAAACTAAGGATAAGATTAAGTTGCAAACAGCATCAGCCTCCTAGGAAAAAAAGATATGTGCTCGTGAACTTAAATAATAGACTATAAACTCATTTTTATGAGGTGACAAGACAGCAGAATCATTGATTAGGAAGAGGATTATTTCATTTTTCTCCTGCAAGGACCTACTTTTCATATCCCTGAATATTTTATACTCTTTCACATCATTTTTTTCCTAATGAAAGGGTATATGTTCAGTTTCGTTTTGAGCAGCATGCTCCCAGCTGCCTTCAAAACGGCAACCTTTTTCTGATAAAGGTAGATATCTGTTTTGGTCTATAACATTATTTGCAAAGTCAAAATATACATTAGGATTAAAATAAAACAAAGTGCTTATTAATATTGAATATACTTTCTCAAACTACAGGCCTTTCTACTCCAAGATTCTGATTAGCATCACTCCTCCCCCCACTCCCCGCCACTGAGATTTAGGTGATCAGTATACTTAATTATATCATATGTGTGCATGCTAAATCTCTTCAGTTGTGTCTGACTCTTTGTGACCCCATGAACTGTAGCCCACCAGGCTCCTCTGTCCATGGGATTCTCCAGGCAAGAAAACTGGAGTGGGTTGCCTCCAATTATATATGTAAACTGAATAAAATCCAGAGAAATAAAGGAACTTTCCAAAAGCCATGGGCATCCATTCCAGAATGTGGATGGAGCACCCCCCAATACTCTCCACACAGTGACAGCTACAATCATGCAGGTGACATTATAGCTCCTTGGGAGCAGGAAGTAGCTCCCCGTTGAATCAGAAAGCAATGGTGGAGGAGGTTGCAGTCCAGGAAACACTCCCGTCCATCATGGACAACCTACACACCTAAATATTGACAAGGCTCCAATTTATGATAATATAACACAGTAACTACATACATTCCCCTTTCTCAGTTTCTGTAGTTATTAAATACAGGAATTGTCTCTATAAGAATATTAAAAGAAATATTTAAAGCTTATTTCTTATTATTTCTTATTAAATAAAGGTTATTTAAAGCTGATTTCAACCATAAATAATACGATTCCAATGAAAGAGGACAAAAGAATCATAAGCAGCATGGATAAAATGAAGACAAACAGAAACCTACCCCAAATTCTGATGAGAGAATCAGTACTTTTCCTTTTGCAGTTAGATCTTTATAAAGTGCATCTATTTCGGCGTGATATAATTGTGTTCTCTCTTCTGTGGTTTGAGTTTCCACAGAAAATAGTATATTGCCAACCCTAAAAATACAAGAATGTATGTCAGAGGCATGTATTATACAATTATAAACACAGGGGGCGGCAGGGTGTGGGGGAGCAGCAGGGTGGCACTCGGGGATGTGGCAGGACATGCGAGGCGTGTTGGCGCCTTTCTGAGCAGACTGCCGAGGCGTGTCTTGTAACAGGCAGTTTTTTCACAAACAGGTTTTGCTCAGTTTAACCATATGTACTTTTTAAAAAACACGTGTTTTTAATTTTTAATTGGGGGATAATAGCTTTACACCGCTGTGCAGGTTTCTGCTATACAACAACACGAGTCAGCCGTAAGTGTACGGACATCCTCTCCCTCCTGAACCTCCCTCCCACCACCCGCATCCCACCCCCAGGTCACCGCAGGGTGCTGAGCTGAGGCCTGTGTTCTGTACGGCGGCTTCTCACCAGCCATGTTTTACACACACTGATGCACACATGTCAACGCTACACTCTCAGTTCGTCCCTCCCTTTCCTTCCCCTGCCGTGTCTGCAAGTCCTTGCTCTATGTCTGTGTCTCTATTCCTGCCCTGAGAACAGGGTCATCAGTGCCACCTTTTTAGATTCCATACATATGTGTGTTAAAACAAGACAGCTGTTTTTCTCTTTTTGACTTAACTTCAATCTGTATAATAGGCTCCAGGTTCATATGTACGTCTTTTATGAGCTTAGGCCAATGGAGGAGGAAAGAACTACAGAGTACAACATATTTCAATGTGTTTCAATTTTATCAGACAATCACCCTATTACATCAGAAGAGCAGGAGCCAGGGCTGTGCACAGAAAACAAGTTCTGGGCCTCCACGCTTTCATTTTTTAAAGCTCTGCTGCATGTGCAGCTCCATGTGAAGCCCTGTGGAGGATAAAAGTTCCATGCAACAGGTATTTACTGTATAACACCAGTTGACCAAAATGCTGAAGATAGTCCTTAGATGCTATGAAGAACAACAAGGCAAAGCAGCTGTCTTTATCGAGGAAAGGAGGGGGAAACAAGGTCACAGATTATTAGCAGTCCATGCGTAAAGCCATAACAGTTGATCAGAGGTTCAGAGAAGAAAGATGATCTAATTTGGAAGATGTGGAAGAAAACAGAAAATGCTTTGTGGAAGAAGGGGCCAGAACTTGGGTCTTTAAGATGAGGATGTGAGTGAAAGAGACCCAAGAGGTAGGAGGTGACCTCAGGGAACAAGTCATCCAGGCAGGCCTGGTTCTGGCAGGAAAGCGCTTCAGGTAAAGCAGGAAGTATTGTTCAAGGCCATTATTATAAAAGGCCTTGCCTGTCTGGCAAGGGAGATGATTTCGGTGTCAACAGGCAGTGGCAGGGTACGGACTAGGGAGGGATTTTTGGATCCAGGGGAACACCCAGTGGGGTGGAGCCCACTGAAGCACTGGTCAGGCACCAGGACACGGGAGATGGAGATGCGAGTCATGAGTCCTTGTGGCGGTCAGAGGCCCCAGGCAAGACTGACAACAAATGGAATGAAGAGATGGCTGAGGAAGATGCTACGTTTGGGGGAAGGATTTATGTACTCTAACTTAGTAGTTCCATTTCTGCTGGGGACTTTGTCATGGGTGGGTGAAGAGTAAGGAGAAAATAATTTTACATCAGTAGAAAACCCTGGAATTCCTTTTATGCGAGGAGAACCATCTTTATTGGGAAGGTGCTTTGATAAGTGGCTTAGGGTAGACATGGAGACCTCAAAGAAGTGGAAGAGTCACAGAATATTTGCTAAATGGTGTTTCTCCCTGAAGGCTGGTGTGAGTTCTGACAAGGAAGCAAGAGGCCAGGAGGCAGAGGGGCTGAGAGGATGTGGGGCCCAACGCTGAGCTGCCAGACATCCCTGAGGCAGATGTGGTGGAGCTCAGGGTGGCAACCGAGGAACGCGTGTTGTGGAGGGGGCGGCGACTGGGGAGGGTCAATATCATTCCACCCAAGCTCAAGGATGTGGAGGCTCTGAGGTGAAGTCTGGATTTCAGATGGACATAAAATGATTATTAACACAAATTTTCATTTGGTGCTATTATATAAGCTGAAAGAGTGGGAAACATCCTAAATGATCAGTGACAAGTAAAAACTAATAGGAGTAACTCTACAATATCCCCAAAATAGAATACTATGCAATTTTTAGAAATGCTTTTAAGAATAAGGTATGGTAAAACATTCATAGCAAGGGTAGAAAAGAAACAGGTTATAAAACAATATGTACAGTATAATCTCAGTTTTTAAAGGAAACAATGATTTAAAATTTTTTTATCTTTGCTTATCTATATTCTAAATTTTCAGTAAAACATACTTATACTCCCACAATGAATTAAAACTATACTTAAAATTCGAATAACAGCCTTCAATCTGCCAATCTCTCATCTTTTTTTCACTTAATTGGTAAAAGTCTTCCTCACAACAAGCTTCAAAAAAGCTGGTTCTAGTGATACACTGGACCTTGATAATCTCCATTTCAGGAGATAGCAAAAGCCCGGAATGTCAAACCTCCTCTGGCAATACCAGGCGTCTGCACACTTTCTGACACCTGCCCTCCCGTACACCCACACTTAGGAAGCACACGTACTTGTCTCCTGTAATCGTGATCGTGAAGCCATCATATTCCTTCCCTTGGTCTTTGAGGCTGGGAACTTTGGTGTTCACAGTGAACCCATCCTTTGTTTTAGTATTAAACTGCTTTCAAGGAAAAAGAAAATTCACATTACTAGTGAGATTCATTGTAAATTCCCAATCCGCAGCGCCAACTCTGACTTTGACGTTTCTAAGAAGGCTCAGTGAATGCAACACATCGTGTCCTCTGTCCCGGCAGTCAGTGTCCAGGACACCTACGCCTGCCCCTATGCCCCCATCCACTCTCTCAGCCCAAGTCACACTCCCCACGGCCCCTGCCAGAGGCCAGAAGAGAACCTCAGAGCAAAAGGCACATAGCCTTCCTTCAGTGGCAACTCTCACTCCTAAGAGCTCCCTTTGGGTCTTTTCTCTTGTTCATCTTAACTGACAGAAACTTTGACACTTAGCAGAATAGCTGTATTCAACACCCTACAATTCAAAATAGCACCATGTATTTTTGCTAGTGCTTCTTCAAAGTAGACTCCTATCTGCCTGAAAAGTACTCAGAATTTTGTCAACCGAGAATTTTATACACATACATGCACATACCCCGACTGCGCAGACCACAGAGTAACAAAGCAGAGTATTCTAAAGGAGTGAGAGGTGAGAGTGGCTCTTAAGGGTGATGAGTATGAACACAGCTTTCTGTCTAAAACACTTCTGACAAAATGAAAGCCAATAAATCGGTGTCACTGCTCCAGAGACAACCTCCCCAAATTCGGTTATTGAGTGTGGCCAACACTTTTTAGGATTGACAGACTTGAATAAGAGAATCGATGGTAAAATAAAAACAGGTTGTGCTTCACAAAACACACTGGAGGCAAAGGCTGTCTGAAAACAGCGGCCAGTGAGCATCACTGAGGTGCAGGGAAGGGTGAAGATGTGTGGACTGGGCAGGACGGCTGGCAGCAGGGGCTGAGACAGAGATGTCTTTGTGTGTGGACAAGGGCTTTCAGCGGCAGAACGTGCTAACACTTAAGGGTGTGCGTCAATTCTCTCTAATGCTCCCTGCATGCCTATAAGACAGGCCACGATCTCAACCTCACAGCTGGGGAAACCCAGTTGGTGAGATGAGGCAAGCTGAGGTCCTGCCTGAGCTGCACATGGAAACAGGGGTCCAGGCCCTCAGGACATCCAGTCTCATAACTCACTAGCCAGCTGCCCAGAGGGGAACTGAGGTCCCTCTGAACTTGGCTGTTTGGCAGAAGCACATCGTGTATCTCAGAAGAACCTGTCAGGGCATCACAGTCAACAAGCACTTTAAACACAAAGGCATATCTTTATTTACTTCTGTGTGTGCCTTTAGGAGCACTAGGACACACGCAGCCTGGGTGGAGGCACGGCGTGCAAGGCCACAGTCAGATGGCCGTTCCCAGACACAGCCAGACCGGCAGAGACTGCGGTGGGAGCCTGACACCGGGCAGGCAGACGATGCTGGGCCCCAAGCAGCACTCCACACAACTGAAGCCTCTTGTGCATTACGCTTTTCTTAATACACACACACACACGCACATGCACACACAGACAGACAGACAGACATACTATGGGCTTCCCTGGTGGCTCAGATGGTAAGGAATCTGCCTGCAATGCAGGAGACCTGGGTTCAGTCCTCGGGTTGGGAAGATCCCCTGGTGAAGAGAATGGCAACCCACCCCAGTATTCTTGCCTGGAGAATACCATGGACAGAGGAGCCTGGTGGGCTACAGTCCATGGGGTCACAAAGAGTGGGACATGACTAAGAGACTAACGCTCTCACTTTTCACTTTCATATATATGTGTTAATATATCCCTCAACAGATTCTGTATTCTGCCTAATATAGTAAATGTAAATGCTGAAAATACCCATGGGAAAGCTAAAGACTAAAATCTGAGTCAGGCTCCAGTTTCTTTGTCTGGTGCATCCAGCAGTCCTCGGTGGGACCATTCTGCCCCCTGGGGGACATTTGGGGAATTCAGGGGAGAGTGTGGCTACAAGGGTGAGGTGCAAGGAACAGTCACACGGGCATGACTCCCACTGGATTTGCACATGGATGAAGAAGTTGTTTATAATGTAATAATTACCTAGGCCTGGAATCAGACTCCATTTTACACTCACACACTAAATATTTGTTACAGTTGAAATACCCACTGACTTTTCTAGAAATGTAAACAGCATATAAACTGAGGAAAGTATATCTGTATATTGTACAGAACTTTATTAAGTGTGGTTTACCATTATGGAAAACCATATCACCAAAGTCACAGCTCATGATACTTGAGTCAGCAAATGACAGAGAGCTACAGGGCTGCCTCTGGAGCCGTCACACTCACCAAGACTTCACACACATGTGCAAGCAACCGGCTACTTCTTCGTGGCGTCTCACAAAGACATGCCTGAATGCTGACATACTGCTTCTTGCCTGTAAACAACTTACCTTCCAGAACTCCTTTACAGCATGTGATGACTTTCTAAAGGATTTTTTGAGTATGTGGGATACATTCTTATGGATTTGATTTTAGTTAAAGGGGCCATCTGAACATGTTTGCTGAGCTAAGATGGCTTTGAGAAGACTGAGAACCACACCTCAGTTCACGAGACCCTCAAAATAACCATGTCAGTCAGAAACAAGGCTCATCAACACACAAGAACCTGGAGTAGAAGCAGGAGAGACTATCCAGCCCGGCGAGCAGCCTGCACCCGGGGCGCGGGGTCAGCTTGTGGCTTTGTCCATGACGTGATGCCTCCTGGTTATTCTTTAGAAATGCGTAAGCCTTGTCACTCATAGAAATTTCTTTAACATTCACTCAATGTACATCAGTCTTATCTACTATAGCTACAAGGAGAATATTTATTCAAGTTTTATGCTAAAGGTCAAACTATTAATTGAAAAAAATCAAATGTACCTGCTGTGGGCACATATTGGGTAGTTTGGAGAAAAGGTTCATAAAGTTCTAATTTCTTAATGGATTATACTTTTAAAACAATATAATTATTTCCCCCTGATGGGCCCTTTATCTTGAATTCAAATACTTCTGATACTGATATTGCCACACCTGCTTTTCTCCAGTAGCATTTACCTGGCCGACCTTTCAGCCTTGAACTTTTTGAATATCATCTTGTTGCAGGTGTTTCCAGTGAACAGAACACAGCTGGGTTTTAAAACACTGATCTCAGATGCTTGCTCTTTCAGGGAAGGAATCAGTCACTCAAGACACATCACCCATTACACACATTCCCTCCTTATCTTAATTTTCTTCCTTCTCTTTCTGTAAACTTTTAGTTGAACTGACTTTGTTTTCTTTATTGCATTTTCCTACCTTCTAGGGTCTGCTTTAATTTTGGTTATTATTCAGGATGTGTTTTTATCAGTGTTTTTAAGTGTCATACTTTATAAAACTTAAAATACTAATAACATTAACAAATATGCCTCTAATGATAATGAGTTCTTTCAAAGACTAATTTTTTCCCCTAAAAACACCTACCGTGGTTTTGATGATAAATTTACCTTCATAATTGGAAGGAGGTCTTCCACTTTGTGGACCTTTTCCAGAGCTTCTCTAACTTCCAACAATCCTTTAGGATTATTAGCTCTTTAAAGGGGAAAGAGAGAGAGATAGCAACTAAAATTAACACAGAAATCAGTAATTAATTATGCTATTACCTTTAATTTAGGTAAATCCTTAATTACAACTGGCTCAATATTCAAAATGGTGGACCACAACCAAAGTATCAAAGTAATGGAATAGTTGAATCTAATAAGTATTGGGCTACAGATGAGAATTAGGGAAACAGAAGTCTGTCCAGATGTGAAACAGGGAAAACCAGAACGGATGGACAGCCAGTGTCTATGTGGACACACATGGGTCTGGGCTTGGTCAGAAAACTTTTGATTCTCCTATTCCAACTATGAAATTAGAAGTATAGGTTTTTTTATTCCTAAAGTTGCTCAAATGAAAGCATACTACTAGGCTTTTATGCCAATTTTATATTTACTTGGTGACAACTAACCTTCAGAATTCTTTTTCCCTGGCCTTTTGTCCACTGTCCTATCTACACTGCACAGCCTCTCAGTTGAGGGAAAATGAGTATTAAGGCGGAAATCCACCATTTAATCCCTAATTAAGAAATGTAAAGAAACATCCTGCTTTCATTGAATTCAAAGACAGGAGAGAGGCTAGAAAAGCCACAGCACTTCAAGATTAAAAACACTCAGTTGAGGTCCATGGATTTTGTAAAGCTATTAAAAAGGAGGTTGATAAATGATTATGAAAGGCTTTATGATTCTAAACACTATGTAAAAATGTGATATATTTTGTTCAGTCTGTCAATAGGCATGGTTTTCAAGTTTCATAAGTATAGCTAATGAGAAATATATGAAATCTATCCATTACCATGAAAAAGAAAATCGAAAGATTACCCATGATAAACTAGAATTCTATCTTTAATAAAATGAAGAATTTTCTCAAAATATTCCAGGTATCTCATGTTGATCACCTGACCCCTGTTAAGAAAAAAATATACGTTGAGAATGTTTTTACATTGAGATATGTACACTGCAACATTAACTCAAAAGGACAGTAAGAAAGCTGTGAGAATAATGTAGCCAAGAGGTTTGGGGCATTGGTTTGCTTGCAGTCAGAGAATGGGAGAAACAAACGCCTGTCTGAGCAAAACTGATGGTCAGCAACGGAAAGTACTCTGGAAGAAAGGTAAAAAAACTCAGTGCCGAGATGCCAAAGCAGGAAGAAAAGTTCTCAAGTGCTTCAATGAGGCTCAGACTTATTTGCCACTTTACCGTTAAGAATCCCTCCCCTTTTCCAGCAACATGCCCCCTCCCTGTCCTGCCATATCACTGCTCTCAGTGTTCCTGACAGCGTTAGCTGCTAACACTCCTTCTGACTGTGTAACTCACTAGCTGTCTTCATCCCCTCCACTGCTCTAAGTAGTATTTTCCTCCCATTTCTACCCCAACCTCCATTTTCAAAACTATCCCAAGACTTCCCTGGTTGTAGAGTGGATAAGAATCCACCTGCCAATGAAGGGGACACAGGTTTGATTCCCGGTCTGGGAAGGTTCCACATGCTACGGACCGACTAAGCCCATGTGCCACAACTACTGAGCCTGTGCTCCACAACGAGAGAAGTCACTGCAATGAAAATTCTGTGCATTGCAACTAGAGTAGCTCTCACTCGCTGCAACTAGAGAAAGCCAGCCTGTAGCAATGAAGACTCAGTGCAGCCCCCAAAATAAATAAATTAATTAATTTAAAAACAACAGCAACAAACCCTCCCAGAACCTCATGTAGAGCCAACACACTGACACATGTGTCCAACAGCACACAGAGCCAACCACTCCCTGGACACAGCTCCCTGGGCTCCCTACTGGCACGTCAAACATCAGGTTCAGGAATTCACTCCAGCTCCCAAACATGTTCACCTGCTTTTTGCCCTGGGGCTTCCTGGCCTCCTGGGGCAACCACATCCCTACAGCTGCATGCTCACTCCCACTTCTAACCCACCACCAGTGCTCCAACCCTGCCTTCTCGTGTTCACTTGTCGCCTCCAGCTCACTTTCACAGAGCTTTCCAGACCTCTGCACCAATGCACCCGAACATTAAACAACTTTCTAACCACTCCCTATCCCTCCAAGGGAAGTCGCTGACTTTGCCACCTGCGGCCAAAGTGATCATCCAGATGTATGATTCTGTTCAGGTCACATCTCTACTTCTGAGCTCTGAATGGCTATCATTTCCAGACAGAAAATGACTTAGCATGGGTATGTTAGTTATTTGTTGAGGAAAAAAAGCTATTTATGTTTTGGCTACTGCCTATCTTTCTAGGGTTGTTTTCTGACAGTCCCCTTAACAATAAACTAATCACAGTTGTACTTCCCTGACCATGCCTAACTCACTGGTGTCAGGGTTGGTGGTGGGGGGTGGCTGTTCACGCATCATCCACCTCTCTCTGTTCTCCATCTATCCAAACAGCATCACCTGAGGCTGGACTGGGACCCCTGGCACCCTGTACACATGAGCAGCACAATCTCAGCATTAAAGGCAGCTCAATGGTCTGCCTCCCTCACTAAGCTATGAGTCTTCTGAAGTCAGGAGCTGTACTTCACTGCCATATCACCGCCATGCAGCACAGCACATGGGGAGTGGCCTTCTGTTAACGCTAGTTGAGTCTACCTATAAACGTCACAGATTATTCTGTAAGAAACATGAATACACAAGTCACAGGGGAAAGGAAATTTATTTTCTAGAAATCAAAACAATAAATAGCCTAATAACATTTCCATTAAACTCAAATGTTGAAGTTGTATAGTAGAATATTTTCTTGATTCAGGCTTCTGGAATTGGAAGCATTTTAAATGTGATAAAACTACGATACTTGTAAAATTTAGCTAAAATTAAATTCAGTGGGTCCCTTTGGAACTGCTGCTCTTTAATATTTGCTCATCATTTATTAAGAGGGTGGGGTAACAGGGTGAACACTTCACCTACACGCCCAACTTGTCAGAAGCCTCTGAACAAAACAAAAGCTCTCCAGTTAACCTGGCTCAACCTCCCAAGAAGGCAGCTTAGCACCCAGTGTCTTTGAACCAAACCCTTTGTGTTACAGGGTGGCGCAAGGGGGAGGACTTCACTCCAACAATTCTTTGAGCCACAATATTATAAGTATATAATATAATGGTATTGTAATGTTGTCCATCTAAGTACTTTCTATGACAATAGATAACTTTCCAGGACCATTTAAAGATGGACATCTAGGCAAAAATCTGGCATTCTACCCTTCAACTGAGCTCTGCATCAAAGAGATTGGAAAAGGGGCACATTTCTTTTTGCAACCAGGCCAGTTCAAAGGAATGCAGGCAGGACCCTGCAGGTACAGGGCTAATTTGTGTCCCAAAGTCACCAAGAAAGGAGAAATGGGTTGTCTGCAGTCTCTGTAAATTGATTATTTAAGATAATCTCCTTGGACTTCCCTGGTGGTCCAGTTATTAAGAATTTGCCTGCCAATGCGGGGACAGGGGTTTGATCTCTGGTCTGGGAAGATCCCACACGCCTCAGGGCAACTAAGTCCATGAGTCACCACTACTGAGCCCTCATGCTGCAACGACTGAAGTCCGCACACCTCGAGCCTGTGGTCTGCAACGAGAGAAGCCACTTCTCACCTCAACGAGAAGCCTGGGCACCACAACTAGAGAGAGTCTGCATGTAGCAACAAAGACCCAGCACAGCCAAGACTAAACTAATTAATTTTTAAAAAACTGCTATGAAAACAGGAAAGATAACCAGAATGTTCATACCTGATTAAATTGATGTGGTTGTTAAAACCTCTGCTGAGACTTCGTGCTGGCATTTGATCCAACCATAGCACTGGTTGGTCTGGGTCAGCAATCCTATAAAATAGAATTTATTAAAAATGAAGACCTTATAAAACCTAGAAATGTTCAAAAGCATTAAAAATAAAACATGTACAAGTCTTTGTGAAAGTGGGGAGAAAACAACTTCTCAGCCCATTACATCTAAAACTGAAACACAAACCTGCAAATTCCAAAAATATTCCAACTGGACCAAGTAAGAAGTCAGTGTAGGTTTACCAGTAGAGCAGTGTTTTTCTCATGAAAATGAATAACAGCAGGAAATATAACTTATAAGATCTACTATTAGTTAATAAAGGAGGAGGAAATGGCAACCCACTCTAGTATTTCTGCCTGGAAAATCCCATGGACAAAGGAACCTAGCAGGCTACAGTCCATGGGGGATCACAAAGGGTCAGACACGACTGAGTGCACATGCGCACACATTAGTTAATAAAATGGGATTCAGAATCCGCTAACTAGAGGAGATTTAACATTATGTTACATTGATTACATTTCTGGTTTATTTTCATTTAAAAGCCAGTTACCGTCTCCATTTTACTGCGATATCAAACATGTCTCTCCACTGCATCAGCCGTGTTTTCCCATTCATTCGAACCTTTGAATTTGTCCACGTACGCTGTACAGCTTGCATGACTTCTAATGCTGCCAAACCCATGGCTAAAAGAAGGAAATACGGGGAAAACAGAGTTTGTAAGTACCCTTTAGAGGGAATGATCTTCACCAACAACTCAATGAACAACTCAGGAATCATTATATTAAAAGAGAATCACAAGTATTGGTAATTCAACAAGACCAGAGATGCATTACCATCATGACGGCCTAACTAAAACTCAGCTCTATTAGAGGAAACTGGAGACAACTGCAGACTTATCTCCTCTCAATCCTGAAGGAACTGAGGTACAAATCCCTCCTCACCCTTCAGGAAGGAGATGGCTCTGGTGGATGAGCTGTCTGACTTAAAGCAATAACTGACGACCTACGTTCCACGCCTACACCAAAGCAACAGCCTAAGAGCCAAAGCCAGAAGCATTCTTCCCTCAGAATTCAGTATGAATGAATCTACTCATTTCTGTTCTTATCACATGGAGATTTTGAGTAAGCACAACAAACGATTCTTTTTCAAAAGTACAACACAGTTTAACCATCCTTGCTCCATTTTCAGATCATTTTAAAATACCTCTGTGTATTCTCTTGTTTGGCAGGAAACCAGGAGTTTCGTATTGCATCAGGGATCCCAAACGATCAGCCACACAAATCAACTCCTGGACCTCAGGCTTGTAACTCTCAAAATTCTGATGTAACACATCTCTGGAAGAAATGTTACGTACACGATAAAGACTTTTACAACAGATACCTGGTTATCCAATTTCATTTGAAAAGCAGTCATTTCCTCCAGTGGAAACATAATTGAGAAAATTCTGACCACATCATCTTTACTTCAGTGCTCAGTACCCAACCAGACACAAGTTAAAAGGACTCTTTATGACAGTGTGTGCAGGGTGACTATCACAAGCTTGTTAGTAATGCTGGTAGCTAGTCTGCAATCAACTAATTATTTTGTAAACTGCTCCAGAACACACAACCTGCATGGACTGACAAGTAACCAATCAACCCTGACTAAGTCCATCCCCTACTTGGGCTCCAAGTTATATTATGCCAAGTGTACCTGAGGGTGTTTGTGGCTACTATTGTTTAACTGTCAACCTACTAAAAGTTTTCTAACAAAGTCGGCAATTCTAAGTTACAGGCTGTGTTGGGGTCTCCAAGACCCCCCTGGGTTCAGTAATTCACTAGGACTCCCGGGCACTGTGAGAACGCAGCACAACTGTCAGAGGGAAAAGCCATGGAGAGGGAGAATGGGGAATGAAGGCTAGAGGAAACCAGGAACACTTTCAGGACCCTGGGGAGACACAGGGCGCTAATTCCCCGAGTGAGATGCTCATGAGATACTCTGTACCAGGCAGTGATCATGTGAACACACCTGCCCGGCAGGTACCCCAAGTCCCCAGAGAGCAGATGTTCAGTGTGAACCACACTGCTCACACACAGGACGCAGGCACTGGGGAGCCACTCTTAGCTCTGGGCACTTAGGGTGGGAGGAGATTCTGAAATCCCTGTTTCCAGACACCAGCCTGGGGCCAGTCTGCTGATTGGCGTTCGCACCCCCTGCTTTCCTGCACCATGTATTTCTCTAAAAGGGGGTGCTGGAGAACAGATATAGCCCTTTGAGCCATCTATTTTGTTTTTATTATCTTGATTATTGAAACTTACAAAGGCATACAACCTTATTAGTCAACCAAAGAACCAAAATAATTATGTAGCTCCACCTATATGTATACGTCACTTTATTATCCTATTCTCCTGCCCCCCAGCAAGAGGTTACTTACGTTGAATTTTCTGTTCACAATTTCCTTACCGTTTCCTTTTAAAAAGATAGGTTACATATGTATATCTTTATTCAATAGTTTTGCTTATGAGCTTTATGGAAAAAATGATGTGACACTGCAATGTACCAACTTGCTGTTCTTACTCAACATTATATTGCAAAATTAGTCCACACTCTTACTCGGGTCATTTGTTTATACTGCTGTAGAATACCACACTGTGCAACACTGTCACATGTGCCCATTTTTCTGCTCATAAGCATTTGGGATGATTTGGTTTCCAATCGTGAACAAATACTGCTATCAACAGGTCTCCAAGTAGTTACGTGCACAAGCATATGGTTCTCTCCTGAATATACACAGGAACAGAATGGAAAGACTGTAGGATATGCAAATATTCAATTTTACATGATAATGAAAAGTGCTGCTGGCACTGAATGGAGTAATCTATAGCCAAGTATATAAAATTTCCCCTTGATCCTGCTTCTGGTCAATATTACTATTATCAAACTTTGCAACATTTGTTTATCTAAGCGGGTGAAACATCTCATGTGGTCTTATGTTTGCCATTCATGTTTTCCCCTTGGTAAGATTATACCTATTCACGTCTTTTTAAAATTATTTTATTGGATTTATTAGTTGCTTTACAAAGCTGTGTTAGTTTCCACTGTACAGCAAAGTGAACCAGCTGTATGTATACATACATCCCCTCTTTTCTGGATTTCCTTCCCACTTAGGTCACCGCAGAGCACTAATTAAGTAGAGTTCCCTGTGGTATACAGTAGGTTCTCATTAGTTTTCTATTTTATACATAGGATCAATAGCATATGTGTGTCAATCTCAATTTCCCAATTCATCCCACCATGCTTTCCCCTCGGTATCCATACTCGATGTCTGTGTCTCTACTTCTGCTTTGCAAATAAGACCATCTATAGGTTTTTCTAGATTCCACATATGTGTTAATAAATGATATTTGTTTTTCTCTGACTTCACTCGGTATGAGTCTCTACAAATGAATCAATTTCATTCCTTTTATGACTGAGTAACATTCCATTGTATATATGTACATCTTCATCCATTCCTCTCTTGATGGACATTTAGTGCTATAGTGAACATCAGAGTGCATGTGTCTTTTTAAATTATGGTTTTCTTGGGTATATACACAATAATGTGACTGCTAGTTCATATGGTAGTTCTATTTTCAATTTTCTAAGGAACCTCCATACTGTTCTCTGTAGTGGCTATATTAATTTACATTCCCACCGACAGTGCATGCCCTCTCTAGCATTTGTTGTTTGTAGATTTTTTTATGATGGCCATTCTGACCAGTGTGAGGTGGTATCTCATTATAATTTTGATTTGCATTTCTCTAATAACTAGTGATGTTGAACATCTTTATGTGTATTTGTTGGCCATCTGTATGTCTTCTTTGGAGAAATGTCTATTTAGGTCTTCCACCCATTTTTTTATTGGGGTGTTTGTTGTTTAGATATTTAGCTGCGTGAGCTGTCTGTATATTTTGGAGATTAATCCCTTGTCAGTTGCTTCACTTGTAAATATTTTCTCCCATTCTGAGAGTTGTCTTTTCATCTCATTTATGGTTTTCTTTGCTGTGCAAAAGTTTTTAAGTTTAATTAGGTCCCACTTGCCTACTTTTATTCTTATTACTATAGGAGGTGGATCAAAAAAGATCTTGCTGCAACTTATGTCAAGGAGTTTTTCTGCTTATGCTTTCCTCTAAAAGTTTTATACTGTCTGGCCTTCCATTTAGGTCTTCAATCCATCTTGAGTTTATTTTTGCATATGATATTAGGGAGTGTTCTAATTCCATTCTTTTACATGTAGCTGTCCAGTTTTCCCAGTACAACTTATTGAAGAGGCTGTCTTTTCTCTATTGTATATACTTGCCTCCTTTGTCAAAGATAAGCTGCCCATAGTGCATGGGTTTATCTCTGGGCCTTCAGTTCTGTTCCACTGAATCTATATTTCTGTTTTGGGGCCAGTACCATACTGTCTTGATTTACTATAGTATAGTCTGAAGTCAGGAAGGTTGATTCCTCCAGTTCCATTCTTCTTTCTCAAGATTGCTTTGGCTATTTGGGATCTTTTGTGTTTCCATACAAATTGCAAATTTTTTCATAGTTCTGTGAAAGATGGCATTGGTAATGTGATAGGGATTGCTTTGAATCTGTAGATTGCTTTGAGTAGTATAGTCATTTTCACAATACTGATTCTTCTAATCCAAGAACATAGTATATCTCTCTGTATCATCTTTGATTTCTTTCATCAATATCTTATAACTTTCTACATATAGATCTTTTGCCTCCTTAGGTAGATTTATTCCTAGGTATTTTATTCCTTTCATCATAATGGTAAATGGGATTGTTTCCATCATTTCTGACCTCTCATTGCTAGTGTACAGGAAATTCAAGAGATTTCTGTGTATTAATTTTGTATCCTGTCACTTTTCTAGATTCACTGATGAACTCTGGTAGTTTTCTGGTGGCTTCTTTAGGTTTTTCTATGTATACTATCATGTCATCTCAAACAGTGACAGTTTTACTTCTTTTTCAATTTGGACTTCTTTTAATTTTCTTCTCTCACTGTCATGGCTAGGACTTTCAAAACTATGTTGAAAAATAGAGGCAAGAGTGGACACCCATGTCTTGTTCCTGATCTTTGAGGAAATGCTTTCAGCTTTTCACCATTTAGAATAATGCTCACTCTGGGTTTGTCATATATGTCCTTTATTATGTTGAGGTAGGTGCCCTCTACGCCCACTTTCTAGAGAGGTTTTTTTTCTTTTTTTTTTTTTAATCATAAATGACTACTGAATTTTGTCAAAAGCTTTTTCTACATCTATTGAGATAATCATATGGCTTTTATTCTTCAATTTGGTGTTTCACACTGATTTACATCCCTAGGATAAATCTCACTTGATCATGGTGTATGATCATTTTAATGTGTTGCTGGATTTGGCTTGCTGGTATTTTGTTGAGGATTTTTGCATCTATGTTCATCTATGTAACATTCTTTTTGTGTGTGACATCTTTGTCTGGTTTTGGTATCAGGGTGATAGTGGCCTTATAGAGTAAGTATGGGAATGTTCCTCTCTCTGCAGTTCTTTTGAAGAGTAAGGATAGGTGTTAGCTCTTCTCTTAATGTTTGAATTTGTCAGTAAAGCCATGTGATCCTGGATTTTGTTTGCTGGAAGGCTTTTAATCACAGTTTTAATTTCATTACTTGTGATTGGCCTGTTTATAATTTTCTGGTTTTTTCCTGGCTCAGCCCTGTATGTGTCTAAGAATTTCTCCATTTCTCCCAGGCTGTCCATTTTATTGGCATACAGTTGCCTATAGTAGTCCCTTTAATCCTTTGTATATCTGTGATATGTTTTAAGGTCTCCTCTTTCATTTCTAATTTTATTGATTTGAGTCCTCTCCTTTTCTTGATGAATCTGGCTAAAGGTTTAACAATTCTGTTTTTCTTCTCAAAGAACCAGCTCTTAGTTTTACTGATCTTTGCTATTTTTTTTTCATTTCTATTTCATTTATTTCTCCTCTGATTTTTATGATTTCTTTCCTTCTACTATCCTTGGGTTTTATTTCTTCTTTCTCTAGTTGTTTTAGATGTAAGGTCAGGTAGTTTATTTGAGATTTTTCTTTCATGAGGTAGAACTGTATTGCTATAAACTTTCCCACAAACTGCTTTTGCCACATCCCATACTTTTGGGCAGTTGTGTTTTCACTGTCATTTGTTTCTAGGTATTTTTTACTTCCTCCTTGATGTCTCAGTGATCTCTTGGTTATTTAGTAGGAAGCTATTGTTTAGCTTCCATGTGTTTGTGCTTTTTACAATTTTTTCCTGTAAGTAATTTCTAATCTCATAGTGTCATGGTTGGAAAAGATGCTTGATATGATGTCA